TGTGTGTGTGTGTGTGGGTGTGCGTGTGTGTGTGTGTGCGTGTGTGCGTGCGTGTGTATGTGTGTGTGCGTGTTGTGTGTGTGTGTGTGTGTTGTGTGTGTGTGTGTTGTGTGCGTGTTGTGTGAGTGTTGTGTGTGTGTGTGTTGTGTGTGTGTTGTGTGTGTGTTGTGTGTGTGTGTGTCTGTCTGTGGTGTGTGTGTGTGTGTGTGTCTGTGGTGTGTGTGTGTGTCTGTCTGTGGTGTGTGTGTGTGTGTGTGTGTCTGTGGTGTGTGTGTGTGTGTGTCTGTCTGTGGTGTGTGTGTGTGTGTTTCTGTCTGTGTCTGTGTCTGGGTGTGCGTGCGTGCGTAAGCCTGATCGTGTAATGGCGCAGCAGGCTCTATAGGTGCCACATCGGTAGACTAGAGAGTGCAATGCTGCTCAGGGAAGACAAGTCGGCCTTTGACCCCTAGTACCCCCATCGTTGGGCCGGCGATGGAATCCACCAAGCCTCGAAAGCCAAAGCCCTAAAGCCCGGATGGCCCTACAGCCAGTAGGGCAGCAGGGGAAGCAGAGAGGAGTTGCGAGCCGCGTCGCTTCGCATCGCTAGCCGCATCTTCGGTTAAGGTCAGAAGTCCATCCTGGCCGTCGCCGCAGGTGCGGCGGCCATGGCCTCCACGGCACTTTGGCAGAAAGGATGTGAGCTGCACTTGCGGATTTCTTGGGCAGGGCGGAGAAATCTAACGCGGGTCGAAAGAGGTTCGAACCGGATCAGCTTAGAAAGTCCTTGGCATCTTTCTGATTGGGAACCGCAAGACTTTGACCGTTGTGCCTGCTGCTGCGACGGCGATATAGACCGTGGAGGTTCACAATTTTCCAATATTGGCCCCGTTTATGATGAACGAACTCCTACAAAGTGGCTGCAGTGAAGATGAAGACTGAGCATGTAATAAGGATGTTACTCAATTCACGTTAGAAGGACTTGTTCCTGCATTGTTACTCTTGAGTACGAAACGTTGGGCGCGGAGATATGCTTGAATTGAAGGATGATAACTGCCGTGGATTCCGTTGAGGCTGCCTCTGGGATCTCTGGGGCACGAGCTGATGTAGCGTATTTCAGTATCTTGGGCACGCGGTGCAGAAACTGTCTTAGACTTGCGGATAGAACGCATTGCACAAATAAATGCGGCATTAAGGGACTGAGGTGCAAGACATGAATTCACACGTGCATACATGCATGCACTGCATACACGGTCACGCGAATGCCCACCACATTGCAAACCTGGACATGCACACAGAAAAATGGCATGTGCATGCGTACTTTTCGATGTTGTGCAGTATATGTCGGAAGAGTGTATGTGTTGTTTATGTACCCATGTACTGATACACAGACAGGTACACTGTCTGCGCTTGCAGCCACGCTGCCGCGTATGTCATATTGTAGCATGGAGGCCACATGCATACGCGAGTTTGTGTGTGTGTGTGCACTCCGCTTGCATTGGTACAGACTTTCTTCCGCATGTGCTTGTGCATAAAATGTCCGAGCGCCGACAAGGTTTTCGCTTAAGTTTCAGATCCCGAGTCGCGCTTTCGGGTTGAATGCTACCACGTCCCGTCTGAGTGGGTAGGGGCAGCCCCCGCGTCGGCCTGAGGCCTTCGTCCAGAGCGGCCCAGCCGGACAGGCGCAGCGGCTCGGGGGTTCTTCGGGGGTTCGATCCTTCGGCTCCGGAGCCGATGCCTGGATTCCGGGGGCTACGCTTCAGTGGCCACCCGATCTCAAAGTGTCAAAGTAAGCAAGGAGACCAAGGCCGAGGCAATGAAGTCGGGCAGGCCGGGCCTTCGATGGATAGAAATCCCCATGCTGGCAGGCTGCCCCGGAGAGAAGCGTGCAGCTGCGCGGCCGAATAGCGGCCCAGACAACTGCTACAGGCGCGCAGGAGATATCATTGTTATTGCATGGGCTGTTGCCCGAGCTTTCGTAAAGACCTTGGTGTCTCGGTCTCGGTTCCCTTGACTGTTTATCGTTGCAACAGAGGATGTTCGCCATGATTTTCGATTGACCTGGCTCCGGCTCCCTTTGTACACGACGCCACTTCTGCAGAACTTTCCTCCTTGCATGAGAAACCTTACGCTGGGAAACGCAAGGAAGAAGGATTTTGTGACTGTGAGCTCGGATCAGGCAGCAGCCAAAGCATTGTTGGATGCACGGCCGCTGCTTCGGCATCAGCCTCTCAGCATCATTTGTCGGCTCGCACTGGACGTGCTTGCTTGCGTGGGCTATGAGATTTGGCGGTTTGAGATGGCCTTGTCAATGTCGCCGAGGTGTTGTTTCTGCAGTTAGGTTACGAGCTTTGCTCATCGCTCGTTTGAAGCATGAGTCGGGCGTTTCTTCGGGATTCACCACTTGGAAGGTGTGCAGGCGGCCAGCAGCCCCGGAAAAGCAATATGCTCATTTTAGTTTATACTGCCGATTACTGCATTTCAACCGACGCAAGCAAGCCTAACACCGCGAAGATCCTGCAGCCCTGAGCCCAATCGGTAAAGCTTCTCGACGAAGATGCGCCCCTTGGACCTTCCTCGTGTTTGTAGAGGCATTGTCGAGGCTTGTCTGCTCTTGGCACAGGCTTCCTTAGAATCGCTGCTCCAAATCACCCGCTAGAGTCTGCTAGAGGCCCTTTTAGCAGCGCAGCTGCGGGGCAGGCGCAGCGAGGTGGCGGATCCGGGAGGGAGCGAAGGGCGAAGGGCTCCAAGCTGCGACCTTGCCTTTGGAAATTTAGGTTGTGGGGACTTGGGAGGTTTCCTTCAGTGCCGTCAAGCCTGATGTCTTTGACGAAGTCGCTCCGGCAGCTCACGCCTGGTGACCTGCTAACAAATTCGGAACCTTCAACCTCACGCAATCGCAAACCAAATCGGGCAAAGTACAATCCAGAGCATACCAAGAGCCCCCTCTTTCTGCGAAAGGCCAGCTACGGCCGCAGGTCCCAGGCATGGCTCCGTTCGTGCGGAGGGTTCTCAGGGACAGCACTGACTGCACCCACGGCGTACACATTGAAGACCTCTGTAGACGATGGCACGTACTAAGTACTAATTTGAGTTACCGGTCCATGCGGTCCCCAGGTCATGTTTGAAATGCGCAGGGGCGTAATGCACCTCAATTCCAAACCTGGAGCACTGACAGCACAGCCGCATCTGAGAAGGTGGTTGTCAGCGCCTTTGAGAACGAGCTCGGCGTGCAGGACCCCGTCGG